ATAAATATAAATAAATAAATAATCAATCTGGTTGGAACAGCTCTGAAATGGAAGGAATGTCAAAAGATTCTCAGTGGCTACTTTAGAAACATGAGAATGTGAGAATAGCCCTGCTGGATCAGGTCTGGGTCCATCTAGCCAGAATTTGTCTCACACAATGGCTTACATGATGCATCCAAGAAGCCCACAAATAGGATATCAAAGCAGCCCTCCTGTCCCATTGTCGCTCTGTACAGATTGTTCCTGTGCCCGGAGATGGCACAGTTAATAGTCATTGATAGACTGTCCCCTAGGAATTTGTCTAGTCCCCTTCTGAAGCCATCTAAATTAGAGCCAACTCTCTATCTTGTGGCAATGTATTCCAGAAGTTGATGGCACACTGCATAAAGAAATATTTCCTCTTACTAGTTTTACTAGTGAGTTTTATTAGGTGGCCTCTAGTTCTAGTATTATGGGAGAGGGGGAAAAACTCTTCCTGTTTGCCCTTTCTTCACCATGCATAATTTTATAATCCTCAATTATATTTCCTCTCTAAGTTAAACAGCTGCTACAGTTGCCTCTTGTTTTCATAGGGTCGGTGTCCAAGCCTGCTGATCACTTTGGTTCCCCTTTGCTGTACCTTCTCCAACTCTTTGATATCCCTCTTGAGATGTATTGGCTAAATAAATATCCTCACAGACTGAAAACCAGTCTCCAGGTCTCTCCTTCACTGAGTGGTACTTTCTGTAGTCTTTGAAGATGCAGCCAGAAGTGGCAGAACAGCAAAACCTTCCACCTCTTATTGCCCCTTCATGTTGCATGTGCTTGGTTTCCAGAGTAAGGAAGCATGGTCCCAACTAATCTCTCACACACAGTGAGCTGTGTCAGGCAGACCAAGTCAGTCCAAGCACAAACTAATGTTCCAACATCAACTGCTGTTCCAACAGGATTTGATTCAGGGCCTACTTCAGAAATATCCCAGTAAGCCCCCACCCCACCCCAAACTGGTTTGAGGGACCATGACAGGTTTCTCATGGAGGCCGTCCCTGGGAGGAGAAATGGGTGTTCAACAACCAGCAGAACACCATTCAAGCTGCCACCAGGACAAGCATGCAAATGACTTGCATATGGCATTGCGGTTCTATAAGATTGTGAAAGAGTATAGACTGTAGCAGGCGTATTGGTAGGAAGCTCTGACCTATCAGCCATGACTCTGAGCTTTCACTGAAGTTTTGAGAGACATTTAGTTTAGAGTCCATCTGCTAGTAACATGGAATAACAAGCAAGCCAAAACAGATTCTGACACTCTGAGCTTTTTTTAAATCACAGATTGCTCATTTCAAGATTCCTCGATACATAGTGTTCGTGAAGGATTTCCCACTCACTGTCTCAGGCAAGGTGAGTCAAGGCTCCTATTTTTTGATGCATAGCCCTTGGCTGAGTACAGTAAGCCATATCCCTGTCCCAAATGCTTAAATCTAAAATTTGATGTGAGGGAACAATACAGGAAACCGAGGGAACTACAAGTAGTGATCAACAGGTAAGTAATTAATTTCAGGGAAGGTTAAAGTAAGCTATAGTACGAAGGAGTTTGAGCCAAGAAATTCATGAAGAGTTGGGCCTGAAGAGGGGTTGGAAAGAAGCATAAGGGGTGACATTATTTGTGTATTGGAAGAAGCACATGGAGCAACAAGAGAGAAAAGCAAAGGGAGTAGAAAACCGGTGGAGCTGGAGGAACAAAGTTTATAGGCAAGTATAACAGGAAAAAAGAGAAGAACGCCTTGAAGAATTTTGAAATAAAAACTGGACCAGAACAAGTCAAGAAGCCATTATAGGAATATAAAGATAGGAATCGTCTGACCAGAGTGACAAATATGATCAATGATTTCAGCGTCAGAATGTTGGGTTACTGTGATGGCCACCAAGATGAGAAATGGGAAATATGTAGAGGCATTGGAGGGGAGGTCATGTTTGTGCTGAAAGAGCAGAAAAGAGGAGCTGTATTTAAACTTGGATGTAAAACAGGAGGAAACACTAACTCTTTGCTGCCATCTACTGGCCACCTCTGTCATCCAGCTCTGATAGTCTAATGAAACCACGACTATGTGCTTGTGCATAGTGGCTGATACAGTTATCAAGACTGGTCCTATCACAAGGTTCAGGGATGGGCTGGGAGGTGTGTTGAAGTGAGGACCTACTGCCATGGGCCTGACGGTTCCCACCACCCTAAGACTCCAGCAGCATGCGAAGTAGTAGCAGAGCTGCTCAATGTCAGCACGGATGACACTTTGAATCCCCCTCCCAATGCAATCATTAATATGATAGTTTTGTGTGAAGTACAGTGTTTGGGAAGAGATAGAATGACAGCCACCTCTGGTGTTTTGGAATCAAACAGGAGCTTGGTTACTGCTTTAAAATGCTGCCGCTATTTTAGTCCGGTGGTATTGATAGGGATGTCTGTCTACTTCAGAGAATGTTTGACTTGGGCCAGAGTTGAAGATGATCAGTGATAAGGAGAAGGTATGAAGAGAGAAGTCTTGGGAAGAAATACATGAAGATTTGTTTTGCTCTTTAAATCTTCAATTATATATGTATATAATCTGGTCCTCTTTTATTCCATCCTTTGTGTTGCAAATGTAGATTCAGAAATACAAACTGAGAGAGCGGATGGAGAAACATCTTCAACTTTGAACAGGAGGAGGCAGCGTAAGAGATCTCAAAACGAACATGCTGTCTGCCAGCTTCTTTTAGTTCCAAACATTTAAGATGCTGAGAGGGATCACCAGCCTGCCTTAAGAAGCATTAGTCTGCTGATCACCAAGTCAAGTTTGCTTAAAATAGTGTGCTTTTTCTAAAATAAAAATTTAGAAAAATAAAAATGCAGTATTTCTTTAACAGAGATAGCTTTGTGTAATGAACTCTGTGGCAAGAGAAGATAAAGGATGATCATAAGAAAGGATGGTTTGGGCTAATGGTGATCATGAGAATCTGTCCATCATATACTTTTTTTTTTAATAAGAACTTTATTAAGTTATAAAAAGCATAAAGATAAAAGCAAACAAGAACTAATAAAAGAGAGGTAGAGAA